CTGTGACTGAGTCTCTGTGTGTGTGACAGACAGACACAGAGAGAAAGAGACAGAAACATACACAGAGAGAAATGTACAGAGAGATAGAGGAGAAATAAGGAAAAAAGGAAGTGGAAACAAGGGGAAGAAATGTGTCCAGAAAGGTGGGAGATAGGATTTGCCTCTGATGGCAAAATTCAGAAGTGAAGCCCCCTACCTTCAAATTCATGGAATTTGGATGGATGTCCTAAGGAGAGGGTGGCAGTTGCTTGACAATCAGGGAAAAGTTTAATAGTCCATGGCTGCAGGCCAAAGACAATATTGATGATAAAGACAGCTGAAGCTGCTTTGCTACATGGGGGTGGGGGAGGCTGGGATGGGGAGAGGCAGCTGGAAGAGGCTGCTGAACCAGTTTTAGCCTGGTATGGTGCCCCATTCCTTTGCCATTCCTTCACTGCCCCTAACAGAGGTCATCTGTTTAAGGCCAAATACTTAAGTGTAAAGAACACTAGATTCCACTGTCTTCATGGGAAAGAAGTGCAAGCTTTGGGAATCATCCACAAGCAGCCTCAAACACACTCTAAAACAGTTTGGTTGATCCTTGTTTAGAACACTCCAATTCAGGGACACATTCTCTCTAACTAGTGAAAGGGTACTAGTTCTCTCCAGGCATAGGGAGAACAAGGGAAGGACATCTTTAAGCCACAGAGGAAGCCACCAACTGTTACTTTCTTTCATGATAACATCCTCATTTCTCCTGGTCTCTGAAGTCTCCTCTTCGTTTTCTTCTGACCCCTACTCTGCCTCCCCAGAGTGAGCCTCTCCACTTTGGTAGTAGAGGCGTTCGTTCTTGAAGGGAAATGGGATGACAGTGTTAATACTAGGAAAGTAGCATGGGAAAGGGAGGTCCAAGATCTGGGATCCAGGAATGGTAGCAGGGAAAACAGGTGCTGAGGAAACACTATGAAAGATTGGATTTCAGGAGGATGAAAACTTAATCATCACCCTTCCACCCCTATCACCAAGTGTAGGTTAATGGAAAGTATCTCTGAAGTTTTTCACTGTTAACTTTTCTCACTTTATTTGTCTGATTGCTTTAACCCAGTGTGGGACCAGTAAAGCAAACCTCAGGGATAAGGTACGTTTTTATAACTCAAGCAATTATATACCCCACCCACTCCATCACCCTTTCTCCCTGGGCAACCAGTCAACACTAGGGATCAGTGCTTGAGGAGTGGAGACGATGGGAGTTCTGAGGGCATCTTTCCCCTCGGATGGGGCCCCTTGGTTCAACTTCCAGATCCCCTCCACACACAGGACTCGATTGTTTGCACTCAGCACACTTTGCCTTTCTACCAGCCTACTCCCCCACATATCTTATTCTAACTTCTACTACCCAGACTACAATTCCAGCCACCTAGCGAGGAGACAGGTGTAGGGATGTGGTGGAAAAAAGCTCCCCTTTCGCTTTCTAAAACACCCCTACCCCGGTTGTCCAAGGCTCCCTAATTCAAGATGTCAGGTTACAAGTATGGAGCAGGGAAAAAACAAGGATTTTCAACAATCGCAGAAATGAGACAAGAAGGAAGAGGTCTAGGGTTGAGGTCAGAGGATCGAAGGGGCTCCAAGTACTTAGTTCCACTCTCTCCTTTCCCCAACCCAGACCCTTTCTGGGAGCTAGATTTTCCTCCCTCCCCATTTCCAGGATCCAGGAGTCCTCCTTTCTTCTCTGGGGCGGGGTTGGCTGGTGAGTCATCAGCTCTTAGCTCTAGCCTGGGCGGGGGAAAAGGTAGAGGAGGAGCTGGGGGTGAATGGGGGGTGGGGGAGGATCTGGACCAAGCTGGTGTGTCTTAAGTGTGTGTGTATGAGTGTGTGTGTGTATTTGTGTGTGTGTGCATGTATGTGTCTTGCCTGGTGAGCTAAGAGGGGGAGTCCCAGACATTTGGAGGAAAAACTCCCCAAACTTCACAACCCACCTTCCCTCCAAACCCGGCCCCTCCCAGTTCCCCCAGCGCCTGCTGCTTCCTGGTCCCAGTCGCAGCCATGGCTGAAGAGCAGGCACAGGTCGAGCTGTTCGTCAAGGTAAGAACACCTCCTGTCTGTCCTTCTATCCCTCACACACATCAAGGAACTTTGCCCTTTCCCATTCTCTTCTGCTCCCTCTCCCCAGGTCCCTTTACTCTCTTTTCCTTCCAAGCCCTATCTGGGCTTGCCTCCGGGCAGGGAGCCCCAGGGGCTGGGTTTTTTGAGGGGTGGGGTGGTGAATGGAAAGTGGTACCTGGAGTCTTGAGTCTCTTTGACTCATCAACAATAACAAAAAGTTTGTAAAAGTGGAGATTTTCAGATGTGTGAGAAAGGGAAAGCAGGAGAGTGAAAGAGTTGGGAAAGCTAGAATGATGGGACCTGCAGAGCAAATCTGGGCTCTGAAGAAAGAGGTGCTATATGGGGTGACTGGGGATTGTGGGGGAAAGAGGACTTTCAGTAGTATAGGGAGGAATTCCTCCCCTGCCCCCATACACCCCAAAGGTTAGAGTTAGAAAAGATACGAAGGGTTGTGGGGATGGGGGTAGGGCTGGGAGTTTAGGAGTAAGGCATGGGGTAGGTAGAAAGAAGTGAGGAAAAAAGTGGTGGCACAAGGGGCATTCTTAGGAAAAGAAGAAGGAGGGGGCTCTAGGCTTGGGAAAGGTTGGAGAAAAGGGGAATCAGGCTGAAGGGAGAAGAGGGATTGATAGGAGATAGGTTGGGGAGATGAAGCATCTGGGAGAAACGGAAAGGAAGAATGACAGCAATTATGGGAATTGAGGAGTGAAGGCAAAGGGGTGATAAGCCTGCTGGAGAATTTAGGGGAATCATCTTCTGGAGAGATAGGGAGAGGTTGAGCTGTACAGCAGTAAAAAGAGGGAGAAATGACGGGGATAGGTGAAGAGAAGATCAAAAGGAACTTCATTTCCGTGTTTCCCCCTTTTTTTTCGAAGTGATCAATTAGAGGTTCTTAGAGCTTTAGAAATCTAAGAAAACTCTTTCCCCATGGAGTCCAAGGTTTAGGTATCTAGGTGAGGACTGGACTTTGGGCTATTTCCCTTAGTCAGCTATCTCCTTCCTCATCCCTCCTCTTCTTCTGCTGTCTCCCTGTCCACCCTACCCTGGGTGGGATGTCTTCCTTACTCTCTCCCCTCAACTTTTTTCTGTCATGTCTCGGTGTCACTCCCTATCCTGTCTGGCCTTCTCTTTTCTGTTTCCTCTTTCCCCCCAGTTTCAGCCAGTCTCTCCTTTCTGCTCCTCCTCCCCACACTCTCTCATCTTTCAGCCTTCTGCAGGTGACCTATCTCTCTCTTTCTTTTTCTTTCCTTTCCTTCTGCTTCTTACATTCCTTCTCTTTTCTCCTTCCTTCCACCCCCTCTTCCCTTCCTCTCTTTGTCTTTGCCCTCCTGCCGCCCCCCCCCCCCGCCCCAGCCCCCACTTCAGTGTCTGTGACTCAATTTCTGTGTCTTCCCTCTAACTCACCCCTAAGTGAAGAGTGAAGTGCTGGCTTAGGCGTGGTCCTTACCTTCCTACTCTCACACCAGCCTCAGGGGCTATTTTTAGCCCAAGATCTAGTTGAAATTACTAAGGGAGAAGCTAGGGGCCTAGATGTCCCCTGGCAGAGGAGGTCTGAGACCTAAGGGAACCTATGTGGCGTTTTTTTTTTTTTTAAATGTAGGCTTTAGTGAAAGAGAGGAACCATACATAAGTCTTAGGCTACCCCGGCCTCGGAAACTATGCCATTTTCCCTCACCTCCAGGAAGGAAGTGGGCTCAGACCGGAGACATAGAGAAATGAATCACCCTCAGTCAAGTGAGGGGGGGTGCCCAGGGGGATGAGGTCACCACTTGCCAATCAGAGGGTGCTGCCCCTTTTGGTGGCCCCTCTACATTCACCCATCCCTGGGAGGAACTGGGAATCCTGCTTCCACACCCAGCTACATAGATGGCTGTAGAAGAGTTTTAGAAAGCCCTTAGGCACTGGGCATCAAGTTCTTTCTCTCTTTTTCCCATCCCTTGCTTCCTTCAGAATCAAGGCTACCAGCCCTACAAACTTCTCCTTGTAATACAGTCCTCACTCCCTTCCCTTGTATATGGAAACCAGTTCTCATCTTCCCAGTCCTGCTTCCCACCCCCAATAATTCTGACCCTCACGTCTTCCGAGTTCTAAGTTTTAGTCAGGAGTGTTCTCCTTAAAATAGTGCTCCCCCAATCCTGCGTCCAACCTGGCTCCTCTTCCAGAAATTATTGAGGGGACTACTTTGGAGAGTTTGGTGCTGTTAGGGTAGGGGATTGTGGAGTCTTTGGACAAAAGGCAATTGAGTTGGGGGAAAAACATGGTAAGCAAAATCAGGGGCAGAGCTGAAACTGGATTCAGTATCAGAAGATATTCTGGAGTCAGAAGACTTGGATTCATCCCAGCTCTGGTACTTTCTAGTTCTATGACCTTGGGCAGGTCATTTCCCCTCAGTTTCTTTGTCTGTAAAATGAAGGGGTTGGACTAAATGATCTCTGAGGTTTCTTCCAGCTTTAATATTCTGTGATGCTAGGAAATGTTTGAAAATGTCACCCTAACTGACATCTGCCTCCCTCCCTCATGACTTTCTACCAGAGGTTTTGAGCCTTCACTATAACATATATAACAACTTATCATAGAATTCCTATGTGCCAAGAACAGGCTTTTCTGGCAATAATATTTATTAAGAGTAATATCAAAGAGTGTCCCTCATATACACCTTGCGTTGTCCATGCCTTGTCCTGGCTCTTCTAAAGAAGCCCTTTCTGACTTTTGGGGGGTACATTTCAGGCTGGCAGTGATGGTGCCAAGATTGGGAACTGCCCCTTCTCCCAAAGACTTTTCATGGTGCTCTGGCTTAAAGGTGTTACCTTCAATGTCACCACTGTAGACACCAAGAGGTGAGAGCCTGCTTCTACCCCCTCCTGTGCAACCCCACCTTTCTTTCCTCTCTCTTACTCCTTCTCTAGTTCTACTCTCTTTTCCTCCTCTATACCTCACCCACTTGCCCACCCCTCCTTTGCTGTGCTGAATTTCTCTCCTGGAGGTTACTTCCTACCAACAAGCCTTCTCTCTCTCCCAGACTTGATCTCCCTACTCCCCTTACTTTTCCCCCTTCTTGTTCTCTTTTCTAGTTCCTTCCCCATCCTAAGTTTCTGACTCTTTGAAATCCCAAGCCACCTCCCCATTCCCCTGATGACTGGGTTCCTACTGCAGGAGAACAGAGACAGTACAGAAGTTGTGTCCTGGAGGTCAGCTCCCATTTTTACTGTATGGCACTGAAGTACACACGGACACTAACAAGATTGAAGAGTTTTTGGAGGAGGTGTTGAGTCCCCCTAGGTATGTATGTGGGACCTGGGTTGGGTAAAAGCAGAAGGATCAGGGGAATGAGGAGAAAAGTAGTGAGAATCTGAAATGTCTGGGATGGGAGCAGCTCCCAGGTTGTCAGGTATTACTTAGGACATCTCCTTACTGCCCCATCTCCCACCTGATCTCAGGTACCCCAAGTTGGCAGCTAAGAACCCAGAATCCAACACAGCTGGACTAGATGTCTTCGCCAAATTTTCTGCCTACATCAAGAATTCAAACCCAGCTCTCAATGCCAGTAAGTCTGAAGGTCCAGGGGCCTGGGTCCTGGTAGGAATGTGGGAACTGGGTGGGCAAAATCAGGGACTGAGTAGGGGGCCTAGATGCCAGGGGAGAACAAAAGCTGAGAAACAGAGGATAGAAGAAGGGAAAAGAAGCTAATAGTTTATAAGTGAGGGAAGCAATGATTAACATTCTATAAAATCCCTCTTTTTTATCGGTTCCTGTATTTCCCTCCATTTTCATTAGCTGAACCCTTTGAATCTCCATGATTGTTTCCCCAGGCTTTCTGGTTCCTTAGGTCCACCCCATATTTAATGGTTCATTCCATAATTAGGCATTTGGACCATTAATTGACTGCTTCATTTTCTGGGCTGCTTTCTAGCTTCTTCTGATTAGCAATCCCTCATTTTTTCTCCTGGCCTACATTCTCTTCTGTCCTAATTTTTTTCTGGGAGACTTTCCCCACCATTTTGATCCCAATTCTTCAACAGACTTGGAAAAGGGGCTGTTGAAAGCCCTGAAGGTTCTTGATAACTATCTTACATCACCACTTCCCGAGGAGATTGACGAGACAAGTGCAGAAGATGAAGGTGTCTCCCACAGAAAGTTTCTGGATGGTGATGAGCTTACATTGGCTGATTGCAACCTACTTCCCAAGCTCCACATTGTACAGGTAGGTCAGCTGGGGAAGAAGGAAGGAAGTAGCTAAGTAGCTGCTTTGGTGAACTCTCAGCACAACTGTCTTCATAAAGACTACCATTCCCTATCATGGTTATTCCAGCAGAGTGTCTCCTCTGGGGTGACTCACTTTCCAAGATAGCTGATAATGGTATATGACCCAGTGTCCCTTGATGTTCATTTCTGGTTTCTGCTCAATTGAGTTGGCTCCCCAGACTTTAGCCCAGAGATTCTTAGTGTCTATGACACTTTTTAGCTGTGTGACCCTAGGCAAGTCTTAACCTCTTTTCTCATATGTAAAATGGGGATAATAGCACTTACCTTACAGTGTTGTGAGGATCAAATGAGATAACATGTAAAGTGCTTTAAAAATCTTTATGTATTTTGATACTACTTTATAATTATTTTCCTCTGTAATCCTTTGTATTTTGTTTTATGCATTTAAAAGCATTTTTGAGAAGGGGTTCAGCCTACTAAAGGGGTCTGTGACATAAAAAAGGTAAAGGACTCCCACTTTAACAGTATGTATTGGGGCAGCTAGGTGGTGCAGTGGATAGAGCACCGGCCCTGGAGTCAGGAAGACCTGAGTTCAAATCCGGCCTCAGACACTTGACACTTACTAGCTGTGTGACCCTGGGCAAGTCACTTAGCCCCAACTGCCTCACCAAACAGAAAAAAAAACCCAAACAAACTGACAATTCAGTCAGTGATTACTACTGAGGTTGTCCTGTGGACTACCCTTCTGTCAAATAGATGAGGGATATCTCTTCCTTCTGGAGACCTCTCTCTGAGGTCTTACCTGCAATCTTCCCATTGCAATATGTAAGTCTGCTCCCCATGGTGGAAGATAAATCCTTTTTGTGATAATCTTCAAATGTATTGGTGGCCTTCTTAAAAGAGGAGCCCAAGCACCGGCCCTGACGTCAGGAGGACCTGAGTTCAAATCCAACCTCATACCAAACACTTGACACTTACTAGCTATGTGACCCTGGGCAGGTCACTAAACCCTAATTGCCTAAAAAAAAAAAAAAGGAGCCCAAACTCGATCAATCAGCAAATATATGTTAAGCAGCAACAAGTGTTTTATTTAGGGGGGGAGTTGTCTTTAAAGAGCTAGCAATCTAGTTGAGAAGATAGATCATTTACATAAAGAGCTAAGAATATAAGGCAATTTACAAGTACTAAATGAGTGTTACTTAGTGCTTGAGAAGTTTAGGGAATATATCTCTTTTAATTGGCCTGACAAAGATTTCATAGTGAAGTCTTTCTTTAGCAAGGCCTTAAAGATGAAGAGTAGGATTTGGTTAGGTAGAATGGAGGAGGACAAAGAAGTGAAGGCATTTAAAGTAGAATAAATTGGCAAGCAAGAGTAAAGAGTCAGGATAGTGAATGGACTTCTTTGACATGGATGGAAGGCTTGGGCAACGGGATAGTGGAAAACTTGAGATGGAGGTTGAGGGCAGGTTATAGCAACTTTAAATTTCAGGCTAAAGAGCTTGGAATTTATTCTATAAGAGACGTTGAAGGTTTTAGAGTTTTAGAAGAAGTAAGAGATATTGACATGGCAGACAATGGACCTCCACTGTGGCCACCATCATCAATGCCGAGCACCAAATAATAATGTATTTGTGTCTCTTCTCTTTTCCCATTAGGTTGTATGTAAGAAATATCGGGGATTTTCTATCCCAGAGGAGTTTCGAGGGGTGCAAAGATACCTGCGCAATGCTTATGCCAGAGAGGAATTTGCCTCTACCTGTCCAGATGCTGAGGAGATAGAGCTGGCCTATGAGCTAGTAGCCAAAGCCCTACAGTAGCCATGGACAGAGCTTCTTTCCTCCTCTACCCCACTACTTCTTTCACAAATGGCTTGATAAAGCTGCCCAAAGAACACATTTCAAGATGGCCACTGAGCACAAAATTTTGAAATAAAGTACAGAAGGGCAGGAAAGGTTGTTGGGGAGCAGGGTGGGGAGGAAAATGAGTGGGATTTTTTTGGAAAGGGATAGGATGAAAATATTTCAATAATAAAACAGTTAAAATACAATGATGTTTTTATACTGGATGTTAGGAATCTGGAAGTCTGGGTCTGGTAGGAGAGTACAGATGCATCTGAGGTATTGAGCGAGCCAAGTGAAGATTCCAGGAGTGAGACTAGGTGTTATTTGTGAGAGCTGGGAAGCAGAACCCTCAAGTTCCAGAAGGGTATTTTGAGGCGAAAACCAGGAGGGCCAAAAGTTTGGGGGGGGGAGGTAATTTCTCCTCTTGTCCCTGCTGTATTTACAGTCGCATGGTTGACAAAGTAGGAGCTTGAGGAAACCTGGGATGGGGGTGACATCCCAAATCTTCAAGAATTTGGGGAGTGCTACACAGGGGCAAAAGGAAAAATCCAGGAAGGGAAGGGGTGTGGCTATGGACTGGAGCGAAGGAAGCCCCAGAGGAGTGGGTGTGGTCTAGAGGGGCGGTAGAGGCGTGGCCTCCCGGAGTCCAGCCCGTACCCGAACAGACAATGCCCCGAAGCCGCCAGTGCGCCGCGCCCCCATCCCTCAGCTCCCCGTGAGCCTGTCCGCTTGTCCAGGGACCCTCACCCCAGTCCTGGGCCCCAGCCCCTCCCAAGGCCTACAGACTCGAATTCCCCTCCCCCCACTCCCTGCACCCGGGGGGAGGGGAGGGGGCCCCCCCGAACCCTGGTCGGAGAGGGGAAGGGGCGGGGTGAGGCAGCCAGCGGTGAGTGACTTGACCGTAGCAGAGCAGGGGCTGGGGGTGAGGGGCAAGTGCAGACTGCTTGTGATCTTGAAGAAATCGGTGGTCCTGGGGAGGGGGGCGGACGTCTGGGGTCCTGAGGGGAATGAGCAGTGGAGGAGTCTGGCGCTTGGGACCGTAAAGTAAGTCGGGTGCGGAGGCCGAACGCCTGAATTCCCAGGACTGGAAAGGTAGGATTCTATAGAGAAAATTTGTTGGGGGTCGCGATCAAGGGTAGTACTAAATATCATTGTCTAAAACTATGCCCCCTCTTTCTCCCCCCCTTCTAGTTTCACTTCAGACCTCTCCCAGTCCCGTGGGACTGAGTCTGATTTATGCTGGGTCCACTAAGGGCTACATGACCAGCCCTCGGGGTAGAAGATTAACTCTATAGTCTCCAATCCCTCCTTTCCTTCCTCTAGTCCTCGCTTCCCTTAAGGATCCAGGTATCCAACTTATCTCCTGCCTTTCCTCTCCTCTTCTCCCTCGCACAGCCCATACTTCCCCTCCGAGTCCCAAGCATCTGACCGCGGAGTCCCCCATCATCTACGAATAACGGAGGGTTAAGGGGTGGACCCGTCTCATATTTAGGGAGTGAGCGCATCCTAGCGGTGACCAGGAGGGGAGAGGCTAATGGAGAGGGGTAGAAAGGGAGGAGGGAGGGGGGGGTATTGAGAGTGGTGGTTCGGGGCCGCTGAAGAGACAACAGGTGTTGGTTTGTTGTTGTTGTTGTTTTGGGGGGAGGAGTACCGGTTTTCTTCCCAGTGCAGTTTCTGTCGGATTCAAAGTGGAATTAAGATGACAGATGGAAAACCAGGAGGGGGGTGGCTGGAGACCCAGGAATCCTCAAACCCCTACCCTTCCATGTCAGTCTCAACTGATTGTCTCTCCCTTCCAGCAGGTGAAGTGAAAGAAAAAACAAATTAAGACAGCAAAACAGCAAGGGTGTGTAGCGGGAATGGGGACCCCGGGGGAGGGGCTGGGCCGCTGTTCCCATGCTCTGATCCGGGGGGTCCCAGAAAGTCTGGGCAAAGAGCGGGAAGGAGTGGCAGTTGGTATCCCACCTTTGGACTTGGCGAAGGCACAGCGAGAGCACGGGGTGCTGGGAGGGAAATTGAGGCAGCGCCTGGGACTTCAGCTGTTGGAATTGCCCCCTGAGGAGCAACTGCCACTTGGACCCCTGCTAGGAGACACAGCTGTGGTGCACGGGGATACAGCCCTCATCACTCGACCTTGGAGTCCTGCCAGGAGGCCCGAAGTGAGTGCAGGAGAGGGAGAGTGGATGAGAAAAGGGGGAAAAAGAAGTTGAGGTCTAGAGTATGTAGGAGAGCAGGGTTGGAGTATCAAGACACCAGTATCTTAAAACTGAAGCTCTCTTCTGCTGCTCCCAGGTCGATGGGGTCAGAAGAGCCCTACAGGATCTGGGGCTTCGGATTGTGGAGATCAAAGATGAGAATGCCACACTGGATGGAACAGATGTGCTGTTCACAGGTGGGGCCTAGGGAGATGGTGAGAGGAACGTCAATATGCTTGAGTGCCTTGGAAAGCACGGTTCTGGGAACTGAAGGGGCTGAGAGACAGTTTTCTCTTCTGAACTCTTCCTTTCAGGCCGTGAGTTTTTCGTGGGCCTCTCTAAGTGGACCAACCACCGAGGAGCTGAAATTGTTGCCGACACATTCAGGGTGAGGGGAACTGACTAGTCCCTAAGCAAAGGCCTCGGGGGTTGTGGGCCAAGGGACCCCAAACTGGAGAGCTGGGAGTGGTGGGTGATTCCTGGAGTGGAAGGACTGAGAATCTCGAGAAGAGGTCGAGTCGGGAAGAGCGGTGCGCAAGACCTAGAGGAGCAGGTGCTGCTCTCTAGGATTACAGGAGGACTCCGTTTATTGTCCTGACTTTCCAACACATATTTCCGCCCGTATCTGTCTCCCCAGGATTTTGCAGTCTCCACCGTGCCTGTCTCAGGCCCCTCCCATTTGCGGGGGCTTTGCGGGATGGGGGGCCCCCGCACTGTTGTCGCTGGCAGCAGCGAAGCGGCCCAGAAAGCTGTGAGGGTGAGGAGGGAGAGGGTGCAACAGGTGGGCGGGATTTGAGCGTTAGGGGGAGGAGCCTATTGGATGAGTGAAGGACCTTAGCTACTGGGATGGGCGTGTGTGTGTGGCAAGGAGGAATATGAAATTGCTGAAAATACATGAATTTAATTTAACCCCGACCATCTGTTTCTTGGGCGTTGTAGGGGCCAGAAAGCCTGGTAATTCGGGGACCAGCTTCGAATTCCTTTCTTTTTCCTTCTGGCCCTTAGGCTATGGCAGCGCTGACCGATCACCCCTACGCCTCCCTGACTCTCCCAGATGATGCCGCAGCAGACTGCTTGTTTCTGCGGCCCGGGCTCCCTGGGGCTTCCCCTTTCTTGCTGCACCGCGGGGGTGGAGACTTGCCCAATAGCCAGGAGGTGAGAAGGTGGCATTCTTTCAGAAGCCCGAAAGGAAGGGAGCATTTATTGGGGGCGAGAAAGGGGATAAGCAGGAATAAGGCACAAAGCCTCATAGTAGAGGAGCGGGATTTCTGGAATTACGGGCAGGAGCTTTGGGCTTGAGGAGGGGAAGAGGAGTGGGTGGGGCTTATCGTTAACTCCACCTCTTTCCCCTAGGTGCTGCAGAAACTGCCCGACGTGACTCTCGTACCTGTGTCCTGCTCTGAGCTAGAGAAGGCAGGGGCTGGGCTCAGCTCCCTTTGCCTCGTCCTCAGCACCCGCCCCCACAGCTAAGAGATCCCCAAATGTGGGAGCAGGAAAGTAGGAAGAATAGAAAGGGGAGGATTAGCCTACCCATAGGATGATGAGTAGAAGAAGCTAGGTGTGGGGTAGGAACCACGGTTTGGGGTGGGACAGCGTGGGAAAGGGGAACAGATCATCTCCCCAGGGAATAAAATGAAACTAACCTTTTAGGCTTCACTGTGTGTTAGTGTCTGATTAGGGGAGATGGGGTGGTGCGGCACAATGTGGGGAGGGACTGGAGTGGCCCTGGGAGGGCCTATAATTTTGAAAAAGGGTGGAGTTCAGAATTCTGGTCTGTCTTCGAGAGCTATAGGGAGCAGGGAATGTCCAAAGCACAGATGGGTTCAAGATTAGCTTCTGATGACTCTCTGGGGGTGAAAAAATGGCAGGTGAGAGGGAGAGTCGGGAGTACCACATGTTGTGTGTTGGGATGAGGCCTTCTCAAACTACTACTGCATAGATAGTGGCGGCATCCTTGGGGACGGTCGTGCGCAACCATCTTGGGTTTCTGAGGGGAATGTGGTCCAGATCAGCATAGAGAAGGCTCTGGAAGAAAAATGGGAAAAGAAGACGGGATGCAGACCAGGAATCCACCATCTAGTCTGGGACTACCCTCCCCTTGGGGACCCAGCCGATGGGCCCCTTTTCATGCACACTCCCTGAGCTCATGCCTTTCTCCAGTCCTTACCCGTTCCACATCCAAGTCCCCTCTTTCCCGGGGCTCCTCTTTCGATCGACTCTGGATCTCGGTGTTCACGGGTGGAGCTTTTGTAGGGGGGGATGGGGGCAGAGCTGAGGGATGGGAAGAGGGGATATGCCCAGTCATAGAATGGAGGTGGGGAAAGGAGCTATTCTCACCGAATCCTGGGACGGTTCTGGTTCTGACTAGCCCGAAAGGGGGTACCCTAGAAAGGGATGGGGAAGGGAAATTAGGGACTCGGATCAACCTTTTATTCTCTTATCTTTAGCCAACCCATGGCCCAGCCATCTCCTTAAGTTTCTAGCTCAAAATCGCAAAATGCAGGCTCTTGCTACCCAACCTGTCACTTCCTCCAACCCATAGTCTTTTCCGTGCCTAGCACTCAGTAGGCACTTAATAAGTGTCTATTGATTGGTTGGTCAGAGCTCACCCCTCGACCTTTCCCCTCATCCCCACCCAAGCTTTAACCTTTGGCACACAGCTCCAACGCTCTCAAATTTTGACCCCTCCCCTTTTCTCCACACCCGCACTCCAGCCTCCTTAGAAATCAGTTCCACTCTCACACTGGGATAACCCCACTCCTCAGTTTTTGAGTAGGTCCTTAGGTCCTACCCCTTCCCCTTCTTTGCATCCCCCACCCTCTAGTTCCTGGCACTTACTGACGAAGTCTCCAAGCTATCCCCAGCCCCGCCAGTCCTAAAGCCAACCCGACGCCCAGCAGAGGGTACAGGAACACAGGATACGAGGATCCTAAAGAGGGGAGAAGAGTCGAAAGGGGCGTTTAGAGTTCCCCTTTACAAGGAACACTTCCTTAATTCCCAACCAATACACATTAGGACTACTTCCATCTCCATCCATTCATTCGACCAATTATTATGTGCCTAACCCTGGGCCACGCGCAGGGGATACTAAATCAAAATAGTTTTTCCCCCGTTGGGGAGGATCAGATCGTTCTCCCAACAAACTGTAGTGTGGTCACCCTTTCCCCAACTCACCGGAGGTGGAGCTGGGGGTTCGGCAAGCAGCCAAGTCCCCAAGCACTTTGAGCGAGGTACGGCTCTCATTGTCCCGGCGGCCTCCAATTCCGGTACAGAAGAAGGTCCCGGAGTCTCCTCGAGCCAGGAGCAGCTCCAGCTGCTGGATGCCATTGGGGTCCAAGGCACGCAGGCGGCCAGTGAAGGGCGAGGTGGAGGCTGGGGTGGGATTTCCTGGGGCGGAGGCCCAGAAAACTGGGCGGCGGCCCCGAAGCAAGCCCACGCAGGCAGGGAAGCTAGGAGCCCAAGCCCATCGGGTCGCGTGGGAGACCCCAGTGCAAGAGATATTCACCCGATCTCCTGGGCGTCCCTCCAAAAAAACTGCGGAGAGTTTGGGTGAGGGTGGGATTCTGAGTCCCACCTTCTAACACCAGCCTTTCTCCCGAAAACTCACTTTTCTTGAGGACCCTTCCCTTCCCCATCCCCTCTCTCATTCTTAGATTGTTCCTGGGATTCAGGGGGTGACCCTACTCCCCCCAGTCCTTGTTTCTCCCCGATTCCCACCTTTCTTACCCCACCCCCGCTCACCCCCCAAGTTCCCTCCAGTCCCTGAGAGCAGCAGCAAAAGTTGCAGGGCTGGGACCATGGTCAGGCATCTGGTGAGGACAGAAATGGGGGAGGCTGAGTCAGCAAGAGAGACCGAAGGGAAGTTGGCTACAGAGAGGGAGCAGATGCTGGGTTGGGGGCACAGATAAGGAGACAAGGCGGGGATTGAGTTGCCTGGACACCAAATCCCAAAGGGAGTTTTGGTGGCCTAACATTCTTATTCATCTCTCAGGCTTTGCCCTCACTGCTGCCTTTCCAACCCTCCCTCCAGACCCTAGGCCTAGAGCTTCCCACATGGGGACCATTGGGACAGATATCCACACCAGGACTGGAGAGGACCACCAGGATCTGGGGGGCCTGGCACTTCTCTCCTAAAGTGAGGGGGAGCTGGGGCTGAGCTGTATTCACTCCTCCACCTGTTAGCCGCACCCTGTTGGGTGGTGTTCCAAAGCTTATACTGCCCCAGGAACTATGACATCACAATGGGTTTTGGTGATGTCACAATCCCCTCTCTATTTCTCTTGGGAAGGTAAAAGGATTTTTTTAGGGGGGGCAGACTATACTGAACTACAGATGACTTTTGTCTACTAAAGGGACCCAAAAATCTTTTTTTGGGGGAGAGGAGCTTCCTGGGCCTTCAACTTTCCTTTCTCCACCCTATATTCTCTGTCCCCAATCAGATGAAACTGAGAAAGGAGGTGCTGCCTTGGGTCAGAAGGGGAGGGGCCTTTGTAACTATAAATCCCAAATATTTTCCTCCCTTCTAAGAGTTGGATCCTTGGAATTTCTATCAGCTTCTGTCATCTCTAACAACCAGACCATGAATACCTTTTTGCTCCTCAGCCTCTCAGCATTGGTCTGCTGGGTTTCAGGTGAGCTCGATGGGAAATGCAGGTGTTCAGTTGGCTTCTGCCCTCAATCCTTAGATCCTGCTTAGGGATCTAGGTGTTGAGCTTCTCAGGCCCCTGATTTTCATTCTCCTTCCCCAGCACTCTTCTCAGGATTCAAGGGATCCAAGCCCCAAAAAGTCCTTTGCTGTCTTGGCCAATCTCCAACACACATTCCCCTCAGAGACTTAGATATCTTTTATTTTAGTTCCCTGGTATTCTCAAGCCTCTTCCTCCCTCCTCCAGTTCTCATTCCTCAAGGACTAAGTTCTTCAGTTCTTTGTGCCTTCTTTGTGCTAGTTCTCAGGTATTTAGCATTCTATCTCTTTTCTGCTCTCCTTCCTCCCCCTTTTCCTGAACCAGCACCCACTTTTATTAGGGGTCAAGAAGTATAGTTTGCCTAGTCCTTGCTCTTTCTTGTAGCCGCTGCTCCCCTTAGGAATCCACCCCTGCACCTTTTCCAAAGCCTAGGTTTGGGCTTGGGGCAACTCCATCTCCATACTGCAGCTAAAGGGATCTTTGAGGTGGGTCTTAGCTTCTGAGTCACCTCCAGAAGAGTCCCTAGGACCCCTTTGGGAGACATCACTATAGCTGCTGTGGAGGGGATACCTGAGTCAAATCATTCTGTGGGTGGGGCATTTTGTTTGGGTGGGAGAGTGAATAGGTTTCCATTTAGGTCAGCCTCTCCAAGGATTAGACTCCCAAGTACCCAACGTCTATTAGGTCATTTGCCACCACAAGCCTTGAATTAGCTGAGGATGAGAGCTTGGGCAGAGATTTCTGAATTCACTCTCATTTCTGGAATGTTCTGTGGGACTGTTTAGGGTGAGTCTTTCTTTCCAACCCATGTCTCTTCTTTAGATTGTAGGGTAGGAGTTCAGGATGAGGAATTGGAAGCTAGCTATTCTCCTTTTTGCTCTTGGCTACTCCAGGACATAGTTCCCAGAGAACGATCATCCCCCAGACCCAATTTCTGTGTCCTTTTTGCAACTTTTATTTTCCATAACGATCTTTCCTTATTCCTTCTGGTTTTCCTTTCTGGTATCCCACATTTTAGTTCTTCCCTATCTCCTCTCTCCTTACTCTAATTTCCATCCTTCCACTTTCTTTTTATATTGACTCTTGTCCAACCCCATCCTCCCCTATCTTCTCCCACGGTCTCTTCTCATATTGTTCTCCCACCCCCTTTCATTTTCCAGGTTTTTTCTTCCAATTCCATTCTCTCCGATGGAAACTCTTCATTCTGTTTCTCCCTCCCTCTGTTTTCTTTGGCAGAACTGCCTCTCTTATGACTCAGCCAATGGGCAGTCGGAGAGGGGACTGATGTTAACAAGGAGGAGATGTAGTTCTTTTCAAAACCAACAGCCCCACCCCACACCTGTGGAGAATACTTTCCAAATATCTTTTGTAAGCTTTATCTTCACTGGAGCCAGCAGGATGAGGAATTTACCATAGAGTTGCCCAGGTGATTTGCCTCCCTTTAGCTTCGCATTCCCCTCAGGAATCTGAGTTTGGGTTCCGAACCAGAGCCTATTGTATTCTCTCTCTTTCCAGCTGACATTCGCTGTCACTCCTGCAACACGTTCCCTGTGGTTGGCTGTGTGGATCGAAAATCCTGTCTCCTGGAACAAGGACATCAGTGTTTGACCACACATGTCTATTTAGGTAAAAAGGACCCTCTTTAGGTGGGGGGGAAAGGGAGTAGAGGTAGAAGTGAATGGTAAAAGAGAAGGGAAAAGGCTGAGATTGGTGCTGATACCAGACTCAGGTAGGTAACAGAAAGAGAATTAGATAAGAACAAGAAGGAAAGAGCAGAAGGGAGAGGGGAGGAAAAAGCAGAGAGATGGAGGGTAAAACGCACAAGAGGGTGAGGAAGGTGGGAGCAGTATGAGGGTCTCTTCTGGCTGATCTTCTGTGTCCTTCTCCCCCCAGGTAAGATGTGGCTTTACTCCAAACTCCGGTGTGGTTCAGCTAAGGAACCCTGCTTAGAGGGCATCAACAAAACCAATGAGTTAACCTACAATACCACTTGCTGCAGAACAGACTCCTGCAATAGCTTTGCGCCCCGCCCTTCTCCAGTCCTGAGCCTTAGCCTCCTCACCCCTTTTGCCGGCCTTGGCTTCTGGCTTCTACACTGAAACTCAACAGAATTTGTTCAGCCCCAGATCCCACCCTTACATCTTCCCACATCATTCTGTCCTTAGCCTCTTAATCTCCCTGTTCCCTCTAGAATGTCTCCCTGTATTCTGGTGTTGTGGAAAGAGCACTGAATTTGGAGTTAGAAGTCCGGGCTCTCTACTACTTACCGTCTGTGTGACCTTGGACCTTAGACTCTCAGGGTCTCAGTTTCCTCTGTAAAAGTGAGAGGGCAGGACTAGGTAATTTTAAGGTCTTTCCCATTTTTAAATGCTATGGTTCATGTAGTTCCATTAATGACCTCTCTCTGGACTTCTTTCCCCCACTCATCTCAGTTTTCTCCCAATCATTTCCCATGGTCAGGGAACTGTAGAATGTTAGAGCTGTAATGGGATCATCATGAATCAACTAATTCAGTCCATTGTTTTTTTTTTCTACTATGCTAGTGTCTCCTTGACCTTCCCCTATTTCCCAGAATTGTCTCTCTCCAATTCGTTCACTTCCCTCCTGGTTATCCCCCACCTCCATTCATCTACCCAGGTCTCTTCCCCACCAAGGTTTCTCCAGCAGGGAGACTGAAGTCTGTGCCTGAAGTGGGAGTTCTTATACAGTCCTCAATATAGATTCCAGGTGGGATGTGATGGTCCTTCTCTGTAGGGTCTGATTCCCTGAACTCTGGCAACAGGTACCACTCCCTTAACCTCACTCATGCCTAGCCCCATTGGAATAAATGTCTGTTTTCCAAAGAATCCTGTGCTTTATTGTCCACAGATTCAAGTGTCCCCTCCTCTAAGCTTTGGCATTACCCCCATCCTAATACCCAAGACTCATGATCCCTTGGGGCACCCAAGTTGTTTATCCCTGAAGCTCCCTCAGGGAATTTCTCTGTTTGGGGTGGAGAAGGGAGGATCTGGACCAACAAGTTTTTCTGGCCTCTTCTGTTCCTACCTCTGCCTGGAGAATTGGCACCTAATGTTTGGGGGAACATGTTGTACACACCACATAGGGACCACACCCCTCTAGAACTTTCCATCCAGAACTGCAGGTAGTCTTGAGACTTCAGCTGGGTGAGAAGGATTAGACTGAAGTGGGGCAATTCCCTACCTAGGATTCTAGTAGATAGTTCTGCCCAATACTACTATGGTTTTCCTTAACTCTGAGATTTTTGGCTGTTTTTTAGGGGAAAGTCTCAGGCCTGGGAAACAACCTCTAAATAGGTGCCTTCACTTTGTCTCCTGTCTCCTCTGAGTTCCAAACAACCCTGTCTTATTTGCTAAGGTGTATATGGGGTGGGGGTAGGACAACACACAGACTGAAGGCTCTAGGGAGGCCTGGTCACCCTCACTGAGTGCTCAAGAGACTCTCCCACCACCCACATACCTCATTTCAGGGAATCTAATTGTTTTGGAAGGTTTTCCCCAACAACAGTATCTAGCAGGCACTCCGGATGCTCTCATCATCTCTTAGGGTCCCTGGCTGCTGAGATTTGATCACTTCCTGAGGCCCCCAAGCCCTATTTCCATTTTCCTCCCTTGCATCCCCCCCCAACCCCATCACAACATGTGAATTTTCTGCTCAGCTGTAAATCAGTCAGTAGAGTTTAATAGACATTGGAGGAGGGTACCACAGCCCTACTCACTCACTCCATGTGCCCATACAGCAATGCTATTACCCTCCCCATAGTCCTGGAAGGATCCAAGCCAGTGTGATGGCCACCAGAGTGGCCAAGGCAATGCTAGGAATCATAGTAGTTGCAGCACCATTGCAGAGGTCACCATGGCAACAGCTACTGTGAGTAGTATAGGACACACCACCCACCAACTCTGTTTCCTCCTGTTCACAGCGATGGGCAGCCACACAGGTAGGGTGATGATGGATCAGGGTGACTGTGGCTGTAGGAGAGAACAAGTACTGTTTGGAGTTGAGAATTTTACTTTGAGAAGACAGAAGATATGGAGAAAAACTGACTCCAGACTTTTTTTTTTTAAACAAATGGTTACAGAGTGATTTACAGGTGGAATGGATAGTTGCCTACTTGGGAATGATTTCAAAGGTAGCATGAAGGTCGCATTTTATATCTTACCTTAAAATGTCTGCCTTACTTGTTATCTTATGCCTAAAATTCCCACATTAGACTATTCAATCATGTAGCTTAAGGATTTGCTTCTATTAAAATTTGACCATTCTCCCTCTATGCTCCCTCCCTCCACCCCCATCTCTTGGGAAGAATTGTATTCTAACAGAAGTCTAAATAAATGTATCATATCCTTTCCTTTTGGAAGGGAAGGAGAAGGGAATGAGGACTTGGAGAAGGGGCATGTATATACTTAGATCTTCAAGGGAAGATGAATGATCAGGAGTTGTGTTCCTTCTCCAGAGGAGTGAAAAGAGGAAATAGATTGCTAGACTCACGGTTCCCTGGAAACTTGACCTGCTCCTCTTGGTTGAGTCTTTGCTCCAGGAATCCACAGCGCTCGCCCTCCTCACATGTCCTCACAATCTCAGTGCAGGGACCATCTGGATTACAGTCATAACATCGTATTCGATTGCCTGATCCAAAGACAGTGACAAGATGAGCTGGGAGACCAGATACCTGCGTCCCTGGGAGAACAGGAGGGATGGAGAGATGGGAAGAGGTAGAGTAGGGGGCTGGGAGAACCAGATGCTTGGGTCTCCCCCCTCACCTAGGGTCTTCCCCAACAGGGTGCACAGCAGGATCCAGAGGATTTCAGAGTTCATGATGTTACTTTTCCTCTAGTCTCTCTCTTGCTCCCTCCCACCCCCCACACCAAAGCAACTGGCTTATATCCCCCTAGTGCTGCACTTTACAGGGCAATAAAAAAAGGAGGCAGAGTCATGCCTCATCTCACCAAGCCAGGGGGCCCCAGGTGGGGCTTGGGTGGGGCCTCTAATCATTGCGGAGATCTTAGCATCTTCTAAAGCCCCTATGACCCCCCCCCAAATCCTTTCCAGACAGTCTTTTGTCTCTCAAAGGTCTTAATTCTCCCCCACTTACATAATTTTTCTGTCAGAAAGCCATGTCCCTTCCCTAGCTCTTTATTTTTTAGATAAAGCATATTTATTAAATGCTCACTATGTGCCAGGCACTGTAAATGATGCCCTCCCTAGCTCTTGATGACCAATAGCACCTCCCCACTCAATCCCAATAGAGCTTTAAGTAGAGATCTGTGTCCCTTGACCAGATCTTAGAACTTCTATGTTCTGTATCCCTCTTCCGATTCTCTCTACAAACTCCATCTTTCCCAAACAAACAAAACAAAACAATGATTTAACTCTTTCTTTTATAGCAGTAAAACTAGGAGGGATTAATTATAGGTTTGGAACACAGAAGCTCTAATGAATCAAAAGGAACTGAGGCTGGGTGGGGTCATTTTCCTACCCCACCCCTCATACCCTGATGGCCTTCCCAAAGTCTCCCACATTCTTCATACGTATCTTTAGGTTAGGGCAACTTAGGTAACATTTCAATTCAGTGTGGGGAGAAAGGTTAACAGAGGTACCAATACATTAAGAGAAGGAGGGAGAAAGTAGAGAAGAGGTAGAAGAGGGTACAAAGGTAAAAGGAATAAAATGAGAAAGGGAAAAAAACCAGAATGGATAAAGAGAAGATATGAGTAAGGAAAGATAAAATGAGAAGACAAATAAAAGAGAGGGAGGAAAGGAAAGAAAAAATTAAGAGATCAGAAAGGGAAGAGCAAGGAGAAGAAAGAGGGAGGGGGAAAGTAAAGGAAAGATAAGGAAAAGAAAGAGGGAGAAGAAAAGGAAAGGAAAAGATAAGAGAAATGAGTGAGGGAAAAGGAGAGAGAAGAAAGAAAAAAAGGAGAGAAAAAGGAAAATGAGAGATGAGATAAGAAAAAAGGGTAGGAAGAGATGAGAAAAAAGTGAGGAAGAAAATGATAGGAAAGAAAGGAAAAAATGAAAGAGGAGCAAGATGGGAAAGAAAGGAATGAAAGAGAAAAAAGTAACGAGAAAGTAGAGGAAAGAAGAGACAGACAAAGGGAAAGAAAATGGAGGTGAAAGTGACAGATTTAAACAGTGACAGAAAAATACTTAGAGAGATATGAGATGGACAGATAAAGAGAAGAGAGAGCACTATCATTGGAGTGAAAGACTAGAGGAAAGAGGAATATGGAAGGTAATAGGTATAGAGGGAGGGGAAAGGGCTTGTCCAGGTTAAGGTAACACAGATGTGGGAAACACTAGGCTCTTTCTTTCTCAAATTCCCTGACAAGGCTAGTCTGTCTGTCCCTCCCAATGCAACCCAGTGACTTCCCAAGATTTGAGGATCCTAGAGCACATGACATATGAATATTAGACTCATGGATTTCTTATTCTGATCTCTGCATTTCCCTCCCTTCTTTTCCAATTTCCTATATCCAATTTCCTCTTCTTTTTGTGGTAGCTTCCAAATCTTGTATGATCCTGATTGTGGCTTCTCACTTACTTGAAATCTTTTGGAACAATTGCAAATTTTTTCTTTGACCTCGAAGCTTTGGGTTTTGGCTGTGATGTTCATTGCAATTTTCATTTTAGAGTTTCTTTCAGGAAGTGACTGGCAGATTCTTGTATTTTCATTTTGCCTTGGGGTTTCATTCATGATTTCTTGATGTACCCAGAAATGGTACCCAGGCTTTTTTTTTTTTTTTTTTTTTTTTTTTTTTTGTTTTTTTTTTTTTTTTTTTTTTTTTGGCATGGGTGGTAGTGAATTGTGGCTTTCAAGATAGTTCAATGTTTCATGGATTTTTCTCTGAACTCTTTTCTGGATCACTGGATCAGTTGGTTTTGATTTGTGGTACCCTATTTTTTCTTCAATTTTCTTCGGTCTTTGGACTTTGTTCTAATATTTCTTGTCTTCTCACAGGGTTATTAATTTTTTTGTGTGCATTCTAATTTTGTAGGGATTCTGTTACTAAGCTGTTAATCTTCCAAGTCTATCCTTTAGTGCTCTTGTTTCTTACCTTTTTTAAAACTAAATTTATTTCAATAAGTTATTCTTATTTCTTTTTCTAAAACCTTATTTCATTTTAAAATTCATTCCATTTCTTCTAGTAATTCTAGTTGACCTCGTGGACAAGCTGTGTGGGTTTTTGTTTTGTTTTTTTTTTGAGGTTTTTGCATGTAGATGTTCTGGAATTATTCTCTCCCTCTAGGTTTGTACTTTGGACATCCTTGGCTTCATAATAGCTCTTTATTATAGGTTTCTTTCTTCTTCTTTTTTTTAATAAATAAAATAAAAATTTAAACATTTTTAATTAAAAAAAAACCCTCATTCTTCTAGCCTTACTTTTTACATTGGAACTTTGTGCTAGGGCCAGGCTCTCCCCACTTTTGGAGGGAATGTTGGGATCTTGTTTGGTCCTATTCTGTATTCTCTGGGGTCCTATTGCTGTTTTTTCCCCATATATTGAATGCTGTGTTCTTCAAGGATCTTAGGAGCAGCTCAAGGCAAGAATCTAAAAAGTTTTACATAGACCTTCCTGGCTAGATTCCTTCCCCAGTGTCTGCCAGACCTCTGCCTATCTCCTTATGCTGACCTGGGCTAGAAAAATGACTCATGGTGGTTTCTCCTTGGGATATCAAGATCACTATTGAGTCTAGGGGTCTGTCTTCATCTTTGTTGAAATAGTAGGAGAGAGCTGAGCAATACTATTTCCATATACTCTACTATTCTCTCCCCTCTCCAACTTCCTCTACCTTGGAGCAATGAAACTCTTGATCCTCTTTGGAATTATGGGTGAAAGTAGCTTTGGGAGAGGGGAAAGGGATATAAGCACTTGGGTCAGGGGTGGGGAACCTGTGGCCTTGAGGCCCCACGTATCCTTCTAAGTCCTTAGGTGCAGCCTTTTGATTGAGTCCATATTTTACAGAACAAATCCTTTTATTAAGGGAATTTATTCTGTGAAGTTTGGATTCAGTCAAAGGGCCGCACCTGAGAGCCTAGAGGGCCACAGGTTTCCCGCCCCTGCAGTATTCAAGTAAGAAAGAAATAGGTAAGGGGCAACTAGGTGGTGAGGTGGATAGAGCTCTGGTCTTGGAGTCAGGAGGACCTGAGTTCAAATCTGATCTCAGACACTTGACACTTACTAGCTGTGTGACCCTGGGCAAGTCACTTAATCCCATTGTCTAGCCAAAAAAGAAAAAAAGGAACAAAAGAAAGAAGTAGGTGACTCAGATGTGGGAACTAGGAGATGAGTGCACACACTCGTGCCTATGTTGGGAAGGAAGGTGAGAGAACTGGGAGCTGGTAGGAAAATAGGGGAAAATCTCACAGGGTTGTTTTTTTTCTTAAAGGATCGAATAAGGTAATATATGTCACAGTGCTTTGTAAGCCTTAAAGTGCTATATGAAAACTTACTATTATTATTAAGTTCCAAGTTATAGGTGGAATGTTATGGATAAAATTGTCTTGGCTCGGTTGTCTTTCTTTATTTTTTGCTAGGCAATGGGGTTAAGTGACTTGCCCAGGGCCACAAAGCTAGAAAGTGTCAATTGTCTGGTCTGAGACAGGATTTGAACTTGGGTGGTCCTGACTCCAGGGCTGGTGTTCTATCCACTGCACCACCTAGCTGCCCCTGCTCAGTTGTCTTTCTCCCTCCACTTTTTCTGTCTGTGTCTCCTTATTTCTCTGTATCTCCAAGTTTTTTGTCTTCCCTTCTATCTCTGTATCCTTTATTTCTGATATCTTCTTCCTTTTCCTTCCTTTTCCTTCCCCCCTCCTTGATATCTCTTCCCCTCTCCTTTTTCCCCTCTCTCAATTGCTCTTTCTCCCCTCGAATTACTCATCTATGAAATGAGGGGCTTGAATTAGATGATCTCTAAGGTCCTTCCTTCATTAAATCCTTCAATCCTTTCATCACTCTCCGTTGTACACCTTCTGTCTCTGTTTCTTTCCCCTCAATGTCTGTCTCTTCCTTTCTATGTCTTTGTTGTGCTGTCTCTCCCACCCCCATTCCTTCTGACTGTCCTGTGTTGTTTGAGACCTGCTCTCTCAACTGGGCTCTCTACTCCACCTGCCCAATGGCTCCACTGTTACACTTGAAGCTTTGCTCAAGTTTTGTGGGAGAAGTCCTTGTGGGCAACTGAACTTATCCAGCCCTACCCCCTGGGTCTCCCTCTGCCCTCGCTCCACCCCTTCACTCAGTCTACCCCTTTCATCTTCTAGTTTTGATCCACACTCCCTTTCTTTTTCCAGAGATGGATGTGTCGGGCTGCTTTCCCTGGCTACACACTACTTATTGGGATGGGAGCTTTTATAACTTGTGGCCCCAGAGCTGCATGCTTGGCTGATGCTTCCAAGGACCAGAGCCAGGCCAAGCCAAGGCAAACTGCAGCCTCTTCGATTTGAGTTTCACTGACCTTAACCCAGCAGGTCGCAGCAGACCTCCTCTAGTCTATATAATCTTGTTGACTCCCTATCCTAAGGCACTGCCTGAGATCCTTTTTATATCTGAGGAAGCTTGCAGAAAGGTGAATGATTTCTGGCCTGGAGCAGCTAGCAGAACTCTCAGCAGTGGGAGATGGGTTTCTCTAGGGGAGCAGAAATGGGATTGAGAATATATTGAGGAAGGAGGGATATCACAATCCAATTCCTTTCTCTTTTCTAGTTTCAATGATTTTGAGTTAAAGGGACCTTTCCCCATTCTCCTCCCTAGTAGTCTCCTGTGGGATCAGGTAACTTGGAGGTTGGGGGAGGGGGAGGGGGAATTGCAGGAGAGGAAAAGTGATGGAGGACAGAGACTCTAAGCCTAGGGTTCCCAAGCTGGGTTATGTGTATCCCCAGGGTGGTAGGAGAAGCTTGTCAAAGAGTATGGGGAATATTGGTAAGTAACTATATCATATAATTGAAATTGATCTACTTTATTTCTCCATATATATGCATGGTAAACTCTACAATTTATTTCTAGAATTTTACATAGAATAAGGGGTATGAGAAGGTTTATTGAAAGCCAAGGGGGGGGGGGGGCGCAGCTAGGTGGTACAGTGGATAG